AAGAGACACTGCTGGAGTCTTTATTTCTGTAGTGCCTGTGTGCTCACTAGAAGTGAGAAATTCCTCTGTGCCTTTGCCCTGGCAACTTTCTCTCTATCCAGCTCAACCCCGATGCGCTTTTCCAGGGCTTCTCCTGACCAGCACCAGCAGCAGGCGTTCTAGTTATGCCATTTTTTTCAACATAGTTCAACACAGATTTAATTTTTTTTAATGTTATGTTTAATGCTATTACTGTTTTGTCTGTTAGTGTGCCTGCCAAAATCCTAATTGACATTTTTATGCACCCACGGGGTCAAACCATGGCAGTATAGGGGATGGAGGCTAGAACATATCTAGCACATGCTCCAATCTGCTTGCCTGTGTCAAACCTCACCAGATGAGCATCTGCCAACCCCCTCAGTGGGAAACCTGGGAGCTGACAAAGGCTCTCACCACTGCAGAGTAGGGAAGCAGTAGGTTTACATGCCTGCATGTTCTACAGAGGTCATTTGTAATGTTGTCTCTAAAAATCCTCCATAGTTTCCAGAGGCCAGTGAATCAGATTGCATTAGAGCTCACCAGATTGCCCTGGGGACAAGTGGTGCTGGTGCATGAAAAGAGTCACCCCTGTGCCAGCAGGACCCTTGGGATAAACCACTGAGGCCAGTGCTGGAGGCAGTAGGGGAAAACATCTCTTCCTGCTTTGGGGGGCTATTTACTACTTCAGCTGACACTGGGGGCAGCCAGTCTGAGCCCACGCTGCTGGGGAGTACAAAAAAGGGACAGAGCAGCTCGAGGAGGAGATGTCCCTTTTCTGGGAAGCTCTGAGCCAGCCCAACCCTGTCCCAGAGGCCCCAGGTCAGGCAACTGGGCCACGAGGGTGGAGGGCTGAGGTGGCAGTTGGAGCAGATGATGCCTCTTCACATGCAGCCAAAGACAACGTGCAGCATCCTGTTTCCAGGATTAAACTTTCCAAGTGTGTCATTTTTAAAAAGCTCTGGTTTTTACCTACCATTTGGGCTGGTTGAGTAGATTGGTCCCATACCCAAAGAGATGCATGCTGATTCTTCCCTTGCATAGGCTGGGATCAGTGTCAGGGGGGCCAGGCTCCATCTTCTGCCTTTTGGAGGCTGTCTCTGAAGTCCTGAAGGGCTGCAAGGTGAACAGCATGTGCTGGCTACACAACACAGGCACTGCACTGCCTCTGTCCCTTCTAATGAAGGACAGTGCCACCGCCTGTACTACCACAGAGGGCTGAGGTGACCCAGCACAGCTGGGGAAAAGGTGCAATAGAGGTTATCCAGATATGAAAAGGGGATTGAGATAAGCCTAGGTAAGCAGAGCTGACCTAAAAACTTGATTTATCCACACTGAAGTGCTTCACAGAAACGTAACTGGTTTTTGGAAAACTGTAGATGACCTGTGACATTAAGGTAAAACAAGAAGAAAGTCAACCTAAATGAAAACTTCATCCAGCAATGTGTGAAAATCATTCTCCAGGAGGACAAAAACCTGCTATTTCTATTTTCCAGCCCAGAAGGTACCAAAAGTTAAACTCAGGCTTCAGAATGTCCCATTAGGCAACAATTCACAGAGTTTTTAAATCTTGCTGCAGGCATGGTTCACCTTTGTCCCACCATAGCAACCTCCATATGAGGGACTGCACTAGTGTGACAGCCCAGACTCAAAACCAGAAATCATCTTCTGACCAACTTAGCTGTGGGGTTACAGACCATGGTCAGCCCTGTCCCAAGAAAGGGCAAGGCAAGGGGTGACACGCTCCTTCACCACTAATTGCCACCTTCACAACCCCTGAGCAAGCACCCTGGGTTGTGCAGCTGGGTAGATAGGACAGGGTTGCCAAAGGACACAGCAATCTGACTGCATGTCTCCCCAGGGCACAAGTTCCTCCTCCACCACTGCCACAGGCAGAAGCAGCTTTCCACAGGGGCTAGCACAGGGGTTATGTGGCAGGATGCAGGTTTGCAAGCAAGCCAAATAAGAGGAACCATAGCCAGGGCTGAGCTGACACAGGGGACACACACCGTCAGGGATGAGCCCTGGGGCCTTCTAACCGGGAGAGAAACACCAACCCCAGGAAAGGTGTCTTGAGACAGGGACACAGAAGGAGCTGAGGGGGAAGAAGCAGCCCTACCTTCAGCAGGGGTAGGCATTTGTGGATGAGGCTGCCCTTAAACATTTCATCCCCAAAAGGAAGTGCTGCATGCAATAAATCCTGGAAATGTTCAAAGCACCTTGCTCCCCACCCCCTCCTGAGGCAGCATGAACCCCTCTTAGACCTAGGATCCCCCACAGTATCTGTGGCTCTGATACCAGCAGCACCCAGCTCTCTGTAGCTGTCCTCACAGTGCCCCCTGAGGTGCTTAGCAAAGGAAGGGACAGCAGCACCCAAATTTGAAGCAGGCAAACCAAGACAAGAGGAAGACCCACTGCTGTGCCTGAGGGGAAGCAGCCTTCTCGCTGGTAGGTCCTGCATGCAGCCTCGAGCTGTAGGATACTCCCCTGCCTTGGGGTCAGTGGGCTCACCACATGCATGGTCCCGCCTTGCCCAGTGATGGAGCTTTGCCTGCCTTAGTCGTTTTCAGCCCTTTGGAACCCACTGCCCCGAGGATCTAACTGCTGTGGATGGGCTTTCCTGCAGCACTGAGGTCCCGGGGAGCCACCTCGGGTCAGCAGGACCGCGTGGCCCTCAGAGTAGTGGGCTGCCCTGAGCACACGCAGGGTGCGCAGGAGGAATGGGAAAGCCCTGCTGTCCCACCACACAGAGGCACCTGCTCCCACCATGGCCACCAGGAGATCCTGCCACATGGGTTTCCATCCCCTCCCCTCAGCAGAGTGGTAAAAATCCCTTGAACTGAGCCAATTCCCCAAGCCCAGCAGGCCCAAGGCAGCTGGAGAGCAGGCCTCAGCCTGCCGTACCAGCCTTCTCCCTGACGGGTGGCTAACCCTGGCCCCAGAGGTGCCCTGCACCTCCACTAAAGGTCTCCTCCTCCCCACATGCCAGCTGGCACTGCACCCTTGGCACCCTTTTTAGCCCCCCTTTTTATCCTCAGAGCACATGTTGGCTTTTCCCAGTACCTGGGGCTCTCCACCATTTCCTCCCTTTCGGCTGGCTCCGACACGCCTTCCTGAAGAGCCAGCCCAGAGCCACAGGCCACCAGTATCAGCCTGCATCTGGGCCACGCTTCCTCACTGCAGCCAGTCCCAAGTCCCACGAAGCTTCCCTCACCCATAAGCCAGTGAGACACAGAACTTTGTGTAAAAAATTAACCCTTCTTCTCTGCAGCCCAGCTTCTGGGAGAAGTCTGTTGGCATAACACCTTATGGGTACATCCAAAACATGCTCCTGCTTTACAGACATTACAGGCTGGGGGAGGCTGGTGCTGGGCTTTGTGCAGGAGGCAGAAGAGCCGGTAGCCCTGGCTGCCCCCTTGCTGGGCCACCTGCAGGAGAAGGCACCACTGTCCTCACTCATCCAGACTAATCCCACCTCTTGATCACTTTACTAATGAAACAGGATAAACACTGGTTCCTCCGTGGACACAGCACGGATGCTGCTTTGGTGAGGGACCTGCCTAGCCAACTGAATGCTGCGTTTGCAGAGGACTTTCTCATAGGCATTCATATAATTTTTTATGCTTATGGCTAATTTCTTCTTAAGTAAGCCTGTGAATTCCTACAACAGTTTCACCATAACTAATCACAAATTAAGATAGTAGCAAATGCTTTCAAGGCCCTGCAGAACCGTGATGGGCTCTGGCAGCTGCAACACCGCTCCTGCTCTGGGCTCTTGGAGAAGAGGAAACTGTCATGAGCACCCACCTTTGGAAGTGGGCAGGGTGGGATAACCCCTATTTCACAGCATCCACAGTAGGGAAGAGGAGGAGGCAAAGGCAAATGGCTTAGGAGCCCAGTGTTGGCAATAAAAGTGGTCAGGAGGGAAGATTAGCAATACCGGGGAGGCATCTGTGGTGTAACAGCCTCTCTGAGTCTAGCAGCAATGCTTGCTGTTAATCAGAGGCCAAGGAGGACCACAAAAAAGGGGTAGGCAGAGGACAGATGGGTACATCCCTATTTTCTCCTGCTTTCTCTCCCTGCTTCCTCAGGGCAGCTAAGCCTGTTGCCATGGGATGTGTGTTGTGACAGCAAACACCTCCAATATACAAGGATGCAAAGGACAAGGTCAGTCTGCAGGGACAAAGAAGTGCACGTTGCTGCCCAGACTGATGTGACTCTGGACAGGTCAGATGGAGAAGAGGGTGACAGAGTCACCAACACCTCCTAAGAAGCAATGACTTCCCAAATCTGTCTTTGTGCTCCCCCACACGCAGTTCCCTTATCTGCACCGTGCAGATCCCCAGCCTGCAGGCTGTTAACCACATTAGCAGACAAGGGCTCAGCCAAATATCCTGCTCTGAGGGATGTATGCTCATTTCCCCTGCCTTGTAGGACACACTTAACAGATTTATCTGAGGACCTCTGCTTCACAGGATTAAGTGTCCCACATGTTAGGATGCTAATCTCACTCCACTCCTTCCATCTATGCACCATCTTCTCCCCACACATCTACCTTTCCTGTCACCTAAATGTGCAACACAGCTTACACTGCGTGATTCAACAGCCATGGAAAACTGTCTTACACAGCACTAGTGGCAAATGGATAAGGACCCCTCAGGGCACCCGTTCAAACACATTGGTTCAGGCTGCTCCCCATGGGAACAGATACATATTGTTCCACAGGCTCACGCATCCATCCCCAAGGTCTGAAAACTCTCCCCTGCCCTACATGGGCATCTCCATCCATGGAGGAGGACAGCAGTGCCAACAGCATCTCTTTGCCTGATCGGGAAGTTGAGACTCATCCCCAGACACCGCTGATGCAAGCGCTGCAGGATGGGAGAAGCAGGGCCTGGTCTTTGCAGGCAGATGAACAGAAAGGCTGGTCATCCTTTTCACGCACGAACAACCCAAGACAGAATCTCAGGGACTACTTTGCTTTTATGTGAACTTTGAATCTGAAACAATAACAAAAACCATGGGGGAAAAAAAAAGGGTCTTTAATCTCATCCCCATTTTTATGAAACTAACTCATTGAATTCTCAGGCTAGGTTGCAGATTTTCGATTCTGAAGGTGGAAATTTTCCAACAACTGCATTATTTCGTGTCTCTAGGGACATCAGCATCTCCCCAGGCGAAGAGGGTATGAGTGGTATAGCTTCCACAGACTGGAAGAAGAGCAGTACTGGGATGACTGTGAATGCAATGAAAATCCCTTTCCCCATATTCCAAATCACCAAATTCCAAAACCTCCGTATTCTGAATTTCACCAAAATTCCTTCTGACCATGAGGTCTTAAACAGTGCTGTGAAAAATGTCGTGTCTGGAAGTTTCTAATACATTATTTTCAGATTTAGCCAGGCATCACAGGTTCAAATATTTTATCCTAAAGTCCTATCAAAAATAAGGCATTTATTTAAGAACACCTAGCAAAACCTTTTGTTTTCTTACTCATCTGACCTGCCTAGCTCATCCAAAGCTTTACAGCAATTGGGCCATGTAGGAACAGAAGGCCTGGGAGGTTTCCTGGCTCATATATAACCAGATCAATAAACCACATGCCCAATTCGCTGGACACCAGACTATTTTGAAACAAAGCAAGTCACAAGACCTTCAGCAGATTCCTATTTTGCCCACGTACAGCTGAGCAGACTTTCTACATCAGCCATATTTTGGAGATAGCTGTGGACAATTGCTGTTTCCTATTAGGGTTAAAATATCTTCCCAGGGGGACAAAGTCTTTTATAAATATTACTGCAAAGTGAAGGTATATTTCTTAATTTTAAGATTAGAATTACATGAATAAAAATGTGTTGCTGGAGCTTCCAATATGATTCACACAAAAAGTCAACAGAAAGAAAACCTTCTGTATTGAACTCCATTCATTAATTTCTAGAAATAATTTCTACCAGCCAGTACTATAACCAAGTGGCATGGCAGCTGGGTGGCTCCATCATCCATCACACCGTGGGTCTCTTCCAAAAGGGGCTATCCCTGGGTTTCTAAGCTCTTTCCTACCCTCAGTCCACACACAAGCACCATGAAGTGCACCCAGGAAATCTGGAACACTGAGACTTTGAGGCCACCCAGAAAACTGTGGCAGCCAGTTCAGCTCTGACCTCCTGCTCCCCAGCCCTATGCCTTCAGCATTGCTGACATCCTCCAGAGGCAGGGAGGGACTTGTGCAGAAACCCAGCAGCTCAGCTTCTGACAGAGCATGTTTGGGGCTGACCATGGGGGGTTCACCCGTGGTTGCACATGTAGCCTAGCAAAGGAACCCACCTGCCCTCATATCCTTGTGGAAAATGGGCTGGGAAAAGTGAAAACAGGCAGGAAATGAGCTGAGGTTTCTACAGGCACTCTGGAACAGAGCCGGTGAAGTCCCAGAGGACCACAGATCACTGAGCTCTCCCCTCTTGGAATTTAAATCTTCAGACTCAGAAACCCTCCCAGCAACAACCCCTTCAGTACTTGGTGTTCACCAGAGTTTCACAGCCTCCGTGGGTGACCCCTTTCTATCATCAACCTCCCATCTCAGGTCATCAGGTTCCAACAACACTACATTAGGTAAAAACAAGCCCAAGAGACCCAAGCCAAATAACTTGCCCTTGCCTGTGGGTCCGCGGGGACCTAGACCAGCGTTTGTCACAGCTGGGCTCATCGTTCCCCGTGGGAGGCGGCTGTCTGCAGAGACAACCTCCACAGGCAACGGGTGGGGAAAACGACCCGTTCCTTGGGGCTCGGGAGAAGACCCCTTCCCCAGCCCTACGGCCGGGAGCAGCCCCCAGCGCCCAGGACCTCCCGAGGCGGGGGTGGGCGGCAG